TTTCAACAGCCTGACATTTCATGGGAGGCTGAGATTGTAAATGTTAACTGTTTGTGATATTTCAGTGAGCATACTGGGACCTCTGACCACTCCGGAGTACCAGCTCAATAAAACCCCCTCCTCCAGCTCTCTGTCTCAGCGCATGAAGTCCTCTCTGACACCCAGGTAATCACATGAGCACAGTCCTCCCAGCCCTGCTGGCATTATAATCAATGATCTCATGATTAATTGAGAAGATAAAGCTACAAAGTGTTTTCTCTCCTAATTTACATAAATGCTGACTTCTTCTGACTATCATATAACTTAATCTACTGTGTAATATCTCATTATCATTCATCAGCTCTGTTTTATTGACTATAGCTCCTAATTAATAATTCCATCATGTTTTTTTTAATGTATGCTGTTTGTTGCAGATTTGGGTCAAAGAGCAAATCAGCAGTGGGATTTTCTCGCCAAGGAAAGTTCTTTTCTTCTCCGCTCCTCAAATAATATCAAAGCAGCTGCATTTAATCCTTTATTCTTACTGCAATAACAGCGACTAGTTTGTTTTATGAATAACATTTAATTGCGTCTATAAACACCTCCAATGTAGTCTTCCTCTGCATTCTTAAAAATTCTGTTTCTGAATGTTAGTTTTTATTGTTTTCTTTTGTTTGTTTTTAACATTTGTAAAATGGGATTTTTTTTTTATTTTTTATTTTTAAAACAACTAGTTTTTTCTGTCTGTGCACACATGTGTCTTTAGGACTGTTGCTCCTAATAAATGTCCAGAGTGGCATTCTCATTTCAGATGACAACACACGAAAATGCACTGTCTATTCACTCTTAGATAAGTGTGCTCATAGATGAAAATATGTACTGTATATGAACAGTTTTATTGTGACCTGCTTCTAAATGTAATTGTTTCCCTTTAATAGTTTTTCAGCTCATGTGTCACTCAGAAGTTGAGAAACTTATTTTTTTTTTATTATTATTATTTTTTGGTATTTTATTCTAGGTTAGAGTTGATTGTGTGGCTGATGTTTGTATTTCATTTGTTTTTATTTAGATTGTCTTCATCCCACAGTATTTTGTTTAGTGAATATAATTTAGAAGTGTGCATACCCTTTCCTTCTTGCTTAATAACAAACTGTAGTAATAAGAACTCAATGAAGACTTTTCAGCCAGATCTACTTGGTCATCGTCTGCAAGCTTCACTAGGTGTGGATCGTTTTAGTAAATGTCAATGATCTCATTGTCATTGAAAGGCAACAAAGCTTTTACCAGGAGCTTTGGTCACTGGTTTGCGCTGCAGGCTGTAGCCTCTGCTGCACCAGACCCTTTGGTGTTTATTGATCTGTGTAATATTTGTACTGTGGGAGGTTGCTTAAAAGCAGTCCTGCACAAAAGGCAATTACAGTGGGCTATTAGCCTGTCCAATTACTGGGGCATTATTTGATAAACTATAATCACGCAGTTTGAACAAAAATCCACTATCTGAATTTCATATAAAATACATTTACAAAAATGTCTCCTGTCCTTTCTGTGAATGTTTTGTGTAGCTTCTTTACATTTTGAAAAGTAATCAGTAAAGAAGGGTGCAATCCCATTTAGTCTACTTTAATATCATTATGTGGGATCATCCTGAAAGGAAGGCTAAAGCTGGTTGAGTAGGAGATTCATATTGCCGAAATCCAGTGGAGAGGCTTGTGCTCCCATCGTTAAGATGATTAGGTGTACTAAGAGCCAATTATTTTTTTGATTTTGTATTGTTGCAACCAATAATATTGCTGATGTGAGGACTCCATATTTGGATTTTAAGTCTTAAGAGAAACATCGGGAAACCTCAAGAAAAATTCTAACTCCTGTAACTGATACCACCTCCTCTGATGACTGATGGTATTTCCACTTTGATGCCCATTAACATGTTTCACTCTTAATGCCAATAACGCCTGAATAACTCAAAATTATTACCAGCACTCAAAGTAGAAACATTGAATGTAAAAACAGAGGTGACTTTATGCTCAACAAAAATGTATATATTCAGATATTGATCAAAGCCCCAACAAAATATTTAACATGACTTTTATGTAGATGGTGTATGTGAAAAATTTACATTTAAAAATTGCAGACACCAAAAGTAAATTACAAAAACCCTCACTCATTTTCAGTGATTTGAACGTGCGTAGCTTCTTTGTGAGAGGTAACTCTTGTTCAGTGTTCAAACATAAAAGTGACATCAAAATTTAGGGAGTGGCCACAGAAGGGGGGTATTTTTCACATAGTTCTGGAAGGCAGGGTCAGATCCCCACTTCTTCATGGCCTGCTTTTCTAAGATGGGGATACCGCTGACGTAACGTAGCAGGAACCAGACGAATAGAGGGGAGACCACACTGAGATACTGGGAACCCTGCATCGCTGAGGAGGCTGAGAGCCAGAGACCTGACCACTGCAGGATTTCTCCAAAGTAGTTAGGATGTCTACTGTAAGCCCAGAGTCCACTCTGGATGAACTTCCCCTGGAGGTGAGAAAGTAAATTGGACAGTACAGTTACAACACTCGGTGAGTGAGACATTAATACAGTTTAGGGTTATCCTCACTTACAGCATTATCTGGGTCACGCTTGAAAACCCACTTCTGCTGGTCAGCAATAGCTTCTGTAGCAAAGCCAAGGCCCCAAATGGTCCAGCCAATGTAGTCCCTCGTTCCCAGAGGCACATTTTGCTTCTCACTGTTCAGCATGAGGGTGGGCAGGAGGGTCATAAATACCCACACAGCTGAAAGAATGGAGGAAAAAATGTATGATTTTCAAACAGCATAACCTTAATACTTCCATAAAATGAATATAACTGTAACCTACAGCTCTTGCCTAGAATAAATACATATAAAGAGCCAGAAACTAGACAGTGATTTATTTGTGCAAAGTCTCCCTTCACTTGGGTGCAGTTGGTCAAGGACTCTGGTAACAAGAAAGAGGTGTTTACATTACTTCCAAGTACCTTGAACAGTCCAATACACAAAGAATGTCCCAGGGCTGTCTCTAACATTGTTAAACCTGCGATCATGACCGTCCTTTAAGATCCGCATGAAGAGGAATGTCCCCAGCCTGCAGAAAAAACATACTTAAAGTCTTTTCACATTAACCAGGCCATTATTCATTAACTTGAGTTACCTGGCTTTAAAGTCTCACATGCATTAGTTCCTCTGACCTTACCAATGACCCTCTAGGACTAAAATTACACAAAACTCTGATAAAAAAAAAATATATATATAACCTGCTCATATCTCTGTTTAGTATTCTAGCGTAGCAGAGCGGTCAAGAGGTGTTTGGCACTTGGCATCAATACTGACTGCCTTACCTGAGTCCCCATGCTGTTACCAACCCTGTCTGCACCTTCTGCCGGGTATGACTGGCCCCTCCCCAGATACGACTCAGGTGTGCAAGTAGTATAAATGTGCCAGAGCCTGAAAATTTAGAAAAAGAGAGACAGAGTTGTAGAGTGAGGGTGGTTTGAAAGTGGGCACGGCTGGTGGCTGTACTTGTTGCAGACTAAGGTGTGTCCGATAAATCTTTTACTCAGGATACTGCAGGCAATTGGTTCCAAAGTTCAAGGGTACAAATACACAGGAGAACAGCGCGGAGTTGGAAAACCAGAAGAAGACGAGTAAAAGAGAAGTGTCAAGGTGATTAATTTGGGATTTCTTTTTTCTAATTCCGTCACTGGCGTGGGCAGGTAAGCAACGTCAGTCTATATCTGACAAATGTTTGAGAACTAACTTTAGGCAGACTATGTTCATTTCTATACTTCCTTATTGATTGTGAGCGTACGTTTTTTTAATAGATATCACAGGCAGATTCAAAGTCACACCAGGCTGCAACTAACATTTATTTTTTAATAATTTGTACATCTTAGTTATTTTCTCAGTTAGAAAGTTTGTAATGTGTGGTATTGATAATAATATGGGCTACATGATGCTGTATTAACCTGCACAAAACCCAATGACATTCAGTTTTCTTTCAAATGAAAAAATGATGACCCCCCCCCCTAAAATTAGGTAACTATATGTAGAAGTACAAAGTAAAAGCTATTCAATTATCAGAATAAGTGCAGTGAAATTTGCTGTAAACTGGCTTACTGACTCATTGGGTAATTCTGTCAGCTGTGGCGTGCAGTAACGAAATGCAAAAATGATTAAATATGACACTAATATCTCCCTACAGCCATATGAAATACTGTTAAGCTTTCTCTCTGTCTCTCTCTCTTTTAACCACTGCATGATTAAAACTAATTATAAATTGTTTAATGGGGGCCCTTAAAAAGCGCCCTTTTTGATTCAACCCAGGATAGCTGTGCACGCCCCTGCTGACACATGCGCCTGTTAAGCCGGAGGAGGAGCTCCTTCCGCGCTGTTTCACAACAAAGCTGTTTTAGATAATGCAGGTTTTGTAATGATCAGTCTTTTTTTAAGTGCAAAACACGCTTTTACAAATTAAATCAGTCTACACGGATCAGATATATCGACTGTTCCCCCTCTAGATGTATTTCGCTTTCAGTCGAGTCGAGTTCGAGCACTTTTTAGTTGCAGTTCACTGACAGACAAGCAAAGCTGCAAAAGCAGTCAGTACAGGGTCGCAAATTACTATTTAGGAAACGGTTTTTCAGATTACCTGCCAAGTCATAAAACTTCTCGGTTTTGAAAGCCGCAGCCAGAGCCCAGCCAGCCCACTGGATGCCCAGGTCGGTGATGGCACATTTGGCCAGAATGCTCCCCATGATCATGTCCTGCAGCTCGGCGAGTAGCAAGGGAATCTGCGACTCTGTCATAAGACCGCTCCTCCTACGTCAAAAGTAATAAAAACACTCCGTGTAGGCGAAAGTTCACCAATATCACACTGCTGGAAGTGGGTTGCCGCAGGGATTTCTGGGTATTGTCGTTCTAAGAGGTGATGTAAGCAAGTTCCATAAGCTGCTGCCCTGTATGGAAGACTCCGAGTGCCAAACGAGTTAAGCCAATGCATTAATAAATAATTAATTACATTTGACATAATAAATTAGTTAGATACAATGTTAATTAGATATCAATTTAATTTATTTAAATCATTTCACAAGTTAGTTATTTATTTCTGACGCAGTTAGTATGAATTAAATGCATTTATTTAATTCATTTTGTCACTTGAGGCCTTCTATAATCCCCCAGTGGAATCAGGGGCGTTTCCAGGATTTTTTCAAAAGGCCCAGAAAAGTCAAGAGTCCTCAGAGAGCACAACTTCCCCCGAAGGGCAACACTAAACACTAAAACGTTGAGTTTTACAATACGATGATGTCAACTTGTGACGAAGCAGGGTGTCAGACTGGAAAAATACAAAGTGCATTTTATTCTCTCCATGCCCTTTCATATTCAATACATTTCCTTGAAATTATTTTTCAAGGTCAACTTTGACCTTAAGTGCTAACAATGAAGGTCAAGGTAAAATACTAACCCTAGGTACTCATATCACCAAGGCCTAGTCTATTGTTGTGACGTTTGAAGACATTTTAAAAGTTTTTACTCATTTTCACGTTGCTTGTGACCTTGACACACTTTTCACCAACATTAAATCAGCTTGAGCTGTTATTGGTATTTACTGTCACAAAGAAGTTAAACATTATATCTTGGAAACCGTGATACATTAATGTGTATGTGACTTAAATGCTGCTGCTGGAGATTATTTTAATGACTTGTTGCTCTGTCTGCTGACACACAGACTCAGCTTTGTATTGGCCACTATTGTTTATTTGCAAAAACTGTTCACACTTTAGCACTGTGGGGTTTTTTTTTTTCCAGTCGTGCACATTGTGACAAGCCTGCACTGCCATGTGTACTCAGGGTTAGATTTCTCAGTTGGTTTCCAGCTATTGTCTGTGCTTCCATCCTGCGTTGGTGCCAGCATGCTGCTGCATAAGTAGAAAAGACTTATTAGTCCATGTGCAACAGCTGTCCCAGTCAGCCTCTCCTCTGCAGTGAACCTTGAACTTCCTGCTTCACCTCTCCCGCCACAGCTGAGCCAAAACCAGAACCACACCCTGCAGCCACACTTATATACAATAGCTTTATTTATATGTGGCTCCTGCCAATGCAGCAAGGGTCCTGCAATTTAGTTTTAGGTTGATTTATAGTGCTTAACAAATTTATTCTACCACCCAGTGTAAGGTTAATGTCACAGTAATTTACTTGCATCTACTTGACGTAAACTAACAGTATTGGTATTTACTAAAATCCTTTTTAATGCTTCTTTAATGGTTAGACTATTATTATGTGAAAGTTCTTTAATAAAAGTGATATTTAAATAATAATTTTTTGACAGATTTAAAAAATATTTGCATTTGTAGTTATTCAAATTCTAATAAAAAGGCACATGGTCAATGATCTGTTAAAACAAAAAATTGCAGAGGCACATCAGACTTGCACATAAGGCCATAAAAAGGAAGTAATATTGAAAAACTGTACTTAAAGTACTCGAGTAAATGCGCTTAGTTACAATCCAAACCTCTCTCTATCAGTGTTTTCACTCAGCAGTGTTGTGAGGTTATTCTTTGTTCCAGACACAGTAGTAATTCATGTCCACCAAAAATGTTTGGTGCATTGTAGTGTAGTTTCTCCAGAGAGGTAAACTCGCAGAATCTAAAACCCGCCATCAAGACTTTTCTCGTCCAATGGGTTTGGTGGGTGTGGGGCAATCACACTTTACAGGGTGTCATTGCCAACCTGTGCCATCCCTTTAGAGGTAACTCTGCCTCCTACATTTTCAGAAACTCCCACAATATTCTTGGGTCTACCTTTCTACAGTGAAGTCAAGTGCCAAATAACAGTACTTCAGCTGTTTTGTGATAATAAAAAAAAGAAGACAATGCATGAATGTTTAACTAATTGTCCCACACAATATAAAACATTGTGTCTTTGTTCCACATTTAGTCTGTTGGTTTCTTTTTACTAATGCAAGTGTCATCAGTGTGTGTTGCCTACAAATACGGCTAGGAATTAAATGTATCCTGTATCGTTCTATTAACTGTAGTTATGCACATTTTAAACCTGATTTTACCTATTTTATTCTCTTATATTAATACTACATTGGTGTGCATTAATTTTCCAACCTGTGATTTTCATCTTGTGTGTTTCCATCACTTGTAATCACTTGAATTGCATTTAATTTGTATGGAAGGTGCAACAAATTGAAATTAATACTGTGATATAACAGCCACAAAGGTAACAATGTAATGTAACAAAGGCAAAATCTATTTGAACCAGACATTCTGCAGAAGTACACCAAGTAATTGTGATGTTGCAGGACAGTATTGTGATATTTATTTTTCTCTTTTTCCTCTTAGGAATAAACACAGACAAGACAAAATATGGCAGACAAGACAAGTCCGAGAGGCAATTCTGGTGACTTTGCTAAAAAAGTCCAAAGACAGCTGAGCAGAGGCAAAGAAAAGGTACATAGTCTGCAAGTTCTTGTTTCCCCTATGGCAAGAAAGACAAATTTATTGCCATTTAATTGCTGTTTCTTTGAGATTTAGCTTTTTTCTGTGCTTTATCTGCAGGTAATGCAAAGGCTGGGAAAGTCAATGGAGACCAGAGATGACCTTTTTGAATATTGTCTCCAAAACTTTAGTGACCAGCAGGTAATCATCCCCCAGCATTGTTTTTATTATGGGAGTTTAAAAAGACTTTGAGCAGAAAGTTTTTCATATCTGTCTTAACACATTTTGCAGTATATGCAAACACATGGTTGTTGAGTAAAAGCAGTGAATCAAACATCATAAAAGTTAATAAAGGTAAGCAAGATAATCATGTGTATACTTATGCTTTATTTGCAGACTGATGGGAACCGAATATACAAGGACTTGAGGGTCTACGTTAATGCAGTTAGAGGTGAAAATAGTCTTTGTTTGAAGATGCTGTAGAACTGTGGATTTGTGCCCTCTGCAGGTCTCAAATAGTCGATTCTGCTTTACACATTTACACATTACGCATTACAGACATGCGTGAAGCTTCAAGGCGCCTTTCCCAGTCTCTGTTTGATGTTTATGAGTCTGACTGGGCTGGAGAGGAAGATTTAGGAGCCATTGTTGAGGTCAGTGGTACTAAAAAAACAAAGACCTATTGCAGCACATTTTAATTCCACAAGTGCAAAAACAGCGAAATGCATGCATCACGAGGGAAATAAGACCCCATATTTTCCCCCTTGTTATGCATAATTAATGCAATATTTACGCTGTACTTGTGATGCAGGGGGAGGACCTCCTGTGGAATGACTACGAGGTGAAGCTATTAGACCAGGCCGTGCGCACCATGGAGTCCTACGTGAGCCAATTCCCTGATGTCAGGGTAAGGCAAACAAGTATGCAAGCAAACATAAGTCAATATGGAGACAGACAAAGAGCCTGAGAGCAAATGCACAAAACTAAGTTAAGACAACCATGTACTATAATTCACTTACATGTACATAGACAATATGTATGACTCTGTTTTGCTCCATTGTAAAAACTGTAGGACAAAATTGCCAAGAGGGGAAGAAAGCTGGTTGACTACGACTCCTCCCTTCACCAGCTAGAGGCACTGCAGACTGCGAAAAAGAGGGATGATGTCAAGATAAGCAAGGTAATTAGAATAACATCAATATCTCTTTGTAATCAACCCTAATTTGTTATAACACATGCATTGAAATTGACTTGCTTTTTCATTCTGCAGGCAAAAGAAGAGATGAATACTGCCAAAGTTATCTATGAGGGGATCAATAACGATCTGAAAGAGGAGCTCCCAGTTCTCTTTGACAGGTCTGACAGTA